GTTATTTTTCTAAAGTTTTCAGAATTATCTTCCAAAACCAAAAGGCAAAATAAGTTATAATTAAAGAATATAAATATTTTCAGTCAACGTATTTAAAGTTGAACGATCTTAATTTTTGGAAAATGTAATTAAATCTTACCAATATTGTTATAAAAATAAAACATGAGTTCAGTGTACAATGTCCATCTGGTTACCAATGTTAGCAGTCAGGATCATATTTCATGTATATTAGGTCTTGATGTGTATATACATACTTTATACTTCCAATTACTGAAAAGTTAGGTTTGGGACAGTAAGGAGTTAAATTCATTAAAACAGACATCTGAGCAGTCTTAGGTCCATTTAACATGAGGAGCCAGCATCCACTGGAGCTCAGATCTTCTTTTGGTAAGTAGCTGGGTATTCTAAATGCAGCCTTCCTATGGTTGCCCTTCTAAAGGCTACAGGCTTTTGGTGATAATGAATCAAGTAATTAGTCATATATGGAGGCAATTTAGTAGAAGATTCCTGCCATCAAATAGGTCCTGGCATCCCCAGAGGAAGGAAATCTGGAAGCTTGTGAGTCAGTACAGGGTGGTTTTATTTTATTTTATTTTTTTTGTGAGGAAGATCAGCCCTGAGCTAACATCCATGCTAATCCTGTTTTTGCTGAGGAAGACCGGCTTTGAGCTAACATCTATTGCCAATCCTCCTCCTTTTTTTTCCCCAAAGCCCCAGTAGATATTTGTATGTCATGGTTGCACATCCTTCTAGTTGCTCTATGTGGGATGGGGCCTCAGCATGGCTGGAGAAGCGGTGCGTTGGTGCGTGCCCGGGATCCGAACCTGGGCCGCCAGCAGCGGAGCGCGCGCATCTAACCACTAAGCCACGGGGCCGGCCCACAGGGTGGTTTTAAGTTAACAGCAACGTAAGGGAGTTCCCGAGGTTTATTCAGGCATTTATTTTTCCAATGGCCCTGTTTTTACCACGGTTACATTCATACTACATGGTCCATTGGAAGGATGTGGGCTTCCTATATATATATAGGACTTCAAAGATAATATGAATTGTTTAATATTCCTAAATATTTCTTGGCCACAGCTGTTGTAAATACTGTGCTAAGCTAATTCATGACTAATTCTGTAACCACTCATTGAAATATGAAGAGAAGCAAGAAACAGATGCTCCACACAACTAGGAAATAATTGTTATGCAAGAATCCCTTGCATTCATGCTATCTGAAAGGATTTGACAAAGTAATTTGTTCTGTTGTCCTACTTAAGTGCTTCCACTTCTCAAAACCTCTCCACTCTCTGAAGCAGTATCCATTTCTGACGTTGGCCACACACAACTGAGGAGCCTTCATAGCATCTGGACACAGAGCAAGAGATGTGCTGAAGTGCTTATTTCCCTGAGGCCTGAGGATAGCAGAATATATCACCTCAAAATATGCGACTTTGGCATCAGGATTATTTTAAGCTTAAGGCAATTGAGAAGCAGCAGATATAAAAAAAGCTTTCTGCCTTCCTATTTGCCTAAAAGCAGGACGCAAATTCCTAAAGGTGTTCCCCCTCTCTTCTCTATCAGGAAGGACGGAAGTTAATTACCAAAGACAATTCTAGACCCTTATCAGCCCAGAGACAGCACCAGAGGAATCTCCGTGACAAATTTTACTAACTAGCCCTTATCTACCATTAGTTCTCCCATATATTTGCCCTCCCACAATTAGCTGCCCTAGAAACTCAAAGTCATTTATTTGTCTTGTCACTTCTCTAAGAATTTATTGTTCTTTTGTTAAGATGCTATATAAGCCCAAGTTCTAACCATCCCTTTGAGTTACTCATCTCTGAGTGCCCCCATGTATATGCAGGATGCACATGTTAATAAACTTGTTTGTTTTTCTGTCTTTTTTCAGTCTAATTTACAGAGCCCCAGCTAGAGAACCTAAGATGGGTAGAAGGAAAAGAATTTCTTCCCTCCCCTACAGGCCTTAGCAGTTTAGTATGTTTGTGACATGTGGGGGCCACTAAAATGCAGGGCCCTCTCTTGCCCAGGTCTAAGAGTAAACACTGCCTTGTTGGATACCTGTGATAAGCCCCCAGTACAGGCCACATCCTTCCAATGGACCATGTAGTATGAATGTAACCGTGGTAAAAACAGGGCCATTGGAAAATAAATGCCCGAAGAAACCTCAGGAACTCCCTTATGTTGCTGTTAATTTAAAACCTGTACTGACTCACAAGCTTCCAGATTTCCTTCCTCTGGGGATGCCAGGACCTATTTGATGGCAGGAATCTTCTACTAAATTGCCTCCATATATGACTAATTACTTGATTCATTATCACCAAAAGCCTGTAGCCTTTAGAAGGGCAACCATAGGAAGGCTACATTTAGAATACCCAGCTACTTACCAAAAGAAGATCTGAGCTCCAGTGGATGCTGGCTCCTCATGTTAAATGGACCTAAGACTGCTCAGATGTCTGTTTTAATGAATTTAACTCCTTACTGTCCCAAACCTAACTTTTCAGTAATTGGAAGTAAAAAAAAAGGGTTAACTTCACTCTATTCAAAGGAAGCCTAAACTAAAGGCCAAGGTGTACAGAATTTGTTTGCATTTGAAAGAAAGAATCTTAGTCAAGCAGGAGGCATTAGTAAGTCCTAAAATTTAAATATGTGTAACTGAAAGCAGCTCTATTTTAACATGTAATTTTTTATTTATTTTTTTGGTGAGGAAGATTAACCCTGAGTTAACATCTGTTGCCAATCCTCCTCTTTTTGCTTGAGGAAGTGTTGGGGAAGAGGGAGAATCCCCCCCACCCTTTCCCTTAACGTTCTTATGGCTGGCCAAATAATTAAAAAGACAGGTTAGCAGGAGAAAATAAAACAGTTTAATAACATGTATATATGGAAGAAACTCAGAAAGAGAACTGAGCAACTCGGCTATTCTGACTAAGCTGCTCACTTAAGTATATTCAGCTAAAGACAAGGAGGATCTTGGGGGTAGTGGTTTGGGATTTCAGAAGGGAGAAAGACAATTTACATGGAGATGGAAATGCAAATGTTTGTCAGACCACTCTACTGGGCCACCTATACAGAATGTGGCCCGAGAGAGAATTTAGACAAGATGGGCTTATTGGTGGCTTTCTTATCACAATTATTTTACATTACACTACAGCTATCGTATGGGAGTGGCTCCCTTCCTGGAACAGGCCTTCTATGTTAAATTTTTGTGTGTGTGAGGAAGATTGGCCCTGAGCTAACATCCAATGCCAGTCCTCCTCTTTTTGCCAAGGAAGATTGGCCCTGGGCTAACATCCGTGCCCATCTTCCTCTACTTTATATGGGATGCCACCACAGCATGGCTTGACAAGTAGTGCGTTGGTGTGCCCCCAGGATCCAAACCTGTGAACCCTCAGGCTGCTGAAGCAGAGTGTGTGCACTTAACCACTGCGCTACCAGGCCAGCCCCTATGTTAAATTCTTTTAGGCAGTTTGGGGGGTAGGTCAAAGTTTCTTTCAGAGTCTTTTGTTCTTGAAAATAATCAAGGTAAAGAGACATATTTTGAGGTGGTCAATTCTGATCCCCCCTAGATTGTTGCTGAGCTGACATCTGCGCCAATCTTCCTCTACTTTATATATGGGATGATGCTGCAGCATGGCTTGATGAGTGGTGCATGGGTCCGAACCTGGGCTCCAAACCCGTGAACCCCAGGCCACTGAAGCAGAGCGTGCAAACTTAACCACCATGCCATTGGGCCGGCTCTGCCAATCTTCCTCTTTTTCTTGAGGAAGATTCTCCCTAAGCTAACATCTGTGCCAATCTTCCTCTATTTTGTACGTGGGTCACTGCACAGCATGGCCACTGATGAGTGGTGTAGGTCCGTGCCCAGGAACGGAACCTGGGCTGCCAAAGTGGAGCGTGCCGAACTTAACCACGAGGCCACGAGGCAGGCCCCAGTAGTCTGTTTTACACATGAAATAACTTTCCCCTCTGAAAAGAGCTTGGAATACAACAAATATATTATAGTTTGTTAAATTAAAAAATGCATGTGTGTGGGCCGGCCCCGTGGCTTAGCAGTTAAGTGCATGCACTCCGCTGCTGGCCGCCCAGGTTCGGATCCCGGGCGTGCACCGATGCACGGCTTCTCCGGCCATGCTGAGGCTGCGTCCCACATACAGCAACTAGAAGGCTGTGCAGCTATGACATACAACTATCTACTGGGGCTTTGGTGGGGAAAAATAAATAAATAAATAAAATAAAATAAAAAATGCGTGTGTGTGTGTGTATCATGTATTTTTTTTAAGGTCTCGAGAACAATTGCCTGTTTTCCAATCAATTAAAATACATATATACAGATACATTTTCAAGTGACCTCACAAAACTTCAATTTATAAAAATATATGAAGTGCTAAGAATTTGTTTCTGAATATTTTGCCTGAATGTACTATTTGTGGAGTATTAGCCAGAAAGATAACTTGAATGTGAGTGACTGTGACTGATGCTGAATATTCTATGAATTAAATTATTTTAAAATCAACTTTATAAAAGCACATCTTCAGATCAAAAAGAGAAATCTTACTCTGGGTTGATACGAACAAGCCACATGCAAGAAATGGGTAAGAAGCTTGGCCCTGAAGCCAGGCTTCTAAAAGGGGAAAAACTGGGATTTAAAGATTCTGCCTTGAAGATGGTGGAGCTGATAACGGCTCAACACAAGGTTGACATAAGGGAAGCCATATTGTAGAAAAGAAACTCTATTGTAACTTTGAATGATCTCTAACTAACCCAGACATCCTCTGTGGATTTTATGGCCCTTCCCAGCTACTATAAGTTGATAACTTTGTTCTCTTGAGTTCCTTAGCAATGTGGTGACCCCGGGGCAGAGAGTCTGTGCTGGTGGCCATCGTCAAGGACAACTGAGGTCAGGCCCCGCCCTCGCCCCACCCCAGCCCGCGGGGCGCCCGCTCTCCACAGCCAGCGGCTTCGCCTGAGGCGGCGGCCGGGTCGTGGTGGCTGTGCCTGCGGCAGCCGCGATCGGCCGGCTCCCGTCCCAGGCGGCGGGCGAAGGTGCGGCGCAGCGCGCGGACGCGGGCGGAGGCGGGCGGCGGGCATGAGGGAGGATGGAAGGGCAGGACGAGGTGTCGGCGCGGGAGCAGCACTTCCACAGCCAAGTGCGGGAGTCGACATGTTTCCTTCTTTTTGCCCTTCTCTAGGTAGTTTCCTACTTCATCATCACAAGATACAAGAGAAAATCAGATGAACAAGAAGATGAAGATGCCATAGTCAACAGGATTTCGCTATCTCTGAGCACCTTCACTCTAGCGGTTTCTGCCGGCGCTGTGTTACTCCTACCCTTCTCGATAATCAGCGATGAAATCCTGCTTTCTTTTCCTCAGAACTACTACATTCAGTGGCTGAATGGCTCCCTGATTCATGGTTTGTGGAACCTTGCTTCTCTCTTTTCCAATCTTTGTTTATTTGTATTGATGCCTTTTGCCTTTTTCTTTCTGGAATCAGAAGGTTTTGCTGGCCTGAAGAAGGGAATCCGAGCCTGAATTTTAGAAACTCTGGTCATGCTTATTCTTCTTGCTTTACTTATTCTTGGGATAGTGTGGGTAGCCTCGGCGCTCATTGACAATGACGCTGCAAGCATGGAATCTTTATATGATCTCTGGGAGTTCTACCTACCCTATTTATATTCTTGTATATCATTGATGGGATGTTTGTTACTTCTCTTGTGTACCCCAGTTGGCCTTTCCCGCATGTTCACAGTGATGGGTCAGTTGTTGGTGAAGCCAACAATTCTTGAAGACCTGGATGAACAAATTTATATTATTACTCTTGAGGAAGAATCACTCCAGAGACGACTAAATGGACTGTCTTCATCAGTGGAATACAATGTAATGGAGTTGGAACAAGAACTTAAAAATGTAAAGACTCTTAAGACAAAATTAGAGAGGCGAAAAAAGGCTTCAGCATAGGAAAGAAATTTGGTGTATCCTGCTGTTATGGTTCTCCTTCTTATTGAGACATCCATCTTGGTTCTCTTGGTGGCTTGTAATATTCTTTGCCTGTTGGTTGATGAAACAGCAATGCCAAAGGGAACAAGGGGACCTGGAACAGGAAATGCTTCTCTTTCTGCTTTTGGTTTTGTGGGAGCTGCACTTGAAATCATTTTGATTTTCTGTCTTATGGTGTCCTCTGTTGTTGGTTTCTATAGCCTCCGATTTTTTGGAAACTTTATTCCCAAGAAGGATGACACAACTATGACAAAGATCATTGGGAATTGTGTGTCAATCTTGGTCTTGAGCTCTGCACTGCCTGTGATGTCAAGAACACTGGGAATCACAAGATTTGATCTACTTGGAGACTTTGGAAGGTTAAATTGACTGGGAAATTTCTATATTATATTATCCTACAATTTGCTTTTTGCTATTGTGACAACATTGTGTCTGGTCAGAAAATTCACCTCTGCTGTACGAGAAGAACTTTTCAAGGCCCTAGGCCTTCATAAACTTCACTTATCAAATACTTCAAGGGATACAGAAACAACAAAGCCTTCTGCAAATGGGCATCAGAAAGCATTGTGAGACACACAGCACCACTCTGCAATCAAGAGACCTGAGAACCCCAGATGCACAACATTCCCATCAGTCAGGAGTGCTTCACACTGACTGTGGTTCACAGTTAGGGCTTGAGCCTGTCAGGGTCATTTTTTTCATAGTCTACTAAGCACTTGGCTGTCACAGGTCTTCTCTTAATTTAACTTTGTGGTGGACCCTGTAGTTTCTAGCCAAATGCAGATTCCTTAGGGCAGCACATTCTTCTGTGGACACATTTGCTTGCATCTGTCGATACAATCACCCATTTGAGAATGTTAGAAAAGGCAGACTTTGGAGCTTTCTAAGGATTCACTTAAATCCCATTATATATTTTATTCAAAATGTAGAAGCCTATGTGAAGGGCATCCTCGATGCTTGGATGTGAGTGAAAGTTCTGCAAAAAAATCCAGGTTTATAGATTGTCATTGTTATAGTGGGTGGAACTGTAATGGTTGCAGATTATATTTTTCACTTCCTTAAAAAAAAAACAAAAGCATAGTTCTGATTTCTGTTACGAATGATATTGACTGGACTTTGAGTCATGGGAAAAATATAAAATTCTTTTCAAACCTGAGCCTTGGGAGCCACTCCAGGTGTGCCGTCTACTGTGCAGTGAAAGGCACTGTGGTAGGAATCTGATGAACCAGTTCACCGACAGCGCATGTGTATATAAATTCAGTGTTACCTCTCATAACAGAGTTGCCAGTGTTGAAAACACTTGTAACTTAGATTTTGCCTTATAGGCTATATGTACACTCCGTTTTTTTAAGCATTTTTTCCCAAAAATCCCTTAATTCCCTGTGCTCCCGTGTCCATTATGAAACTATAAATGCTCTGTGGTAGAAGCCTCTTCTTTCACATTCTTTAGGCTTTCGTTACTTTTGTATATGCCAATTTAAACCTCAGACTTAAAGAAGTTACCAGTTTAACACCCAAAATGCACAGCATCAGCATTCATGATGTAAGAATAGTTTTGCATTGTACCATGATCTGATAATCATTCAGTTATTAAATTATAAATAATTCTTGGGATGGTTTCTTGACTTCAAGTCCAAAATAAAATTATAAAATTATACTCTGTGTTACCATCCACTAGGATAGAGTATCAAAAATTATGCATGCAAAAATATGAGATGGGCCCATTTGCACATAATTCATAGTTATGCAGTCTCTCTAAATACATATGTTCATATGCACTATGTGTATGGCAATAGATTGTCTGTGTTCAGACAAAAGTAAAAACATTTTTCTTAAATTGTTGAATTTAAAAGTTTTTGGGGGGAAATTTATGAAAAACAGGCTGTATATATTTGACATCAGAAATTTCCACTTAAAACCAAAATAATATGAAAAATTAATCTGTATATTTGTAAACTTCATTGAGTATACTTCTTTTTTTATTTGTAGGTCTGCATTTCCTTCTGAGCTTCTCTTCTTGTTAAAATGCAGCTTAGTTTTAAAATAAAAGAACATTTTGTGATTCTAAACAACACTTAGTAAATACCACCAGTCTAGTATTGGTGAATTTCTCAGCATAAGATCTGCATACTAAGAAAATTAATAAAAGTTGGTTGCTTTCTAATTTCACTTGTAATTATACCTAATTTTAAGCATTAATTAATTGCAAGCTTTGATTTTTTTTACTGAAATTTGCTTGCAATCCATACTTTGAGCAGATCAGGTCAAGGGGAGAAGAGAAAGAAACTTCTTTAAATAAAAGAGTATCCATTTTAACTTACACCAATTTCAGGGCACATCCAAAGGAAGAGTTCTTGGGTATTTGTAAGATGTCTGAAAATTTTTGAGTAAAATATTAAACTTTTCAATGTCAAAAAAAAAAAAAAGACAACTGAAAGATCAGGGTATAGGGCCTTGCTCTGGTCTCTGATGCATGTCCAGTAAAACAAAAGTCTATCAGGAACTAAGACCAGATGTCTGCCCCCACCTGGAGATCATATGGATGCCCCCACCCAGAGACCAGATGCCTTCCCCCCCTCCATCTAACTGGCCTATAATCTTTGCTCTGTAAGATGGTTTCTTCGGACATTAGTCGGCCATCTTCCTCTTGCTAGCAGCTGTAATACAAAGTCCTTTCTTTCCTACCACTTTGTCTCTTGACTATTGGCATGTCTTGCAGTGGGCAGATAAACCCCCTTTTTGTTTTTTTTTTTAAAGGTTTTATTTATTTTTTGCCCCCAAAGCCCCAGTAGATAGTTGTATGTCACAGCTGCACACCCTTCCAGTTGCTGCATGTGGGACTCGGCCCCAGGATGGACAGAGAAGTGGTGCCTCGATGCGCACCCGGGATCCGAACCCGGGCCGCCAGCATCGCAGCGCAGCGCGCGCACTTAACCACCAAGCCACAGGGCCGGCCCGAACCCCCTTTTTGGATGGTAACAGAGCTACTAAATGGAAGAAGCCTGGCTCCTTGAATGAACATATGGAGCAGAGCCTCCACCAATCCATGTTATACTGTGACACGAACAATAAATAAACCTTTATTGTATTGAGCCCCCTATAATTTGGTGTTATTTGCAACAGTTTGCCTGAATATCACACAATTATTACAAATCTTACAGAATTGTTGTCAGGATTAAAGAAAAATAATCTTGCCTAAGATCAGAAGATCAGCATCTAGAAAGATGGGCATCAAAGCAATGATTCCTCTTTTTTTTTCTTTTTTTTTTTTTTTTTTTGGTGAGGAAAATCAGCCCTGAGCTAACATCCGTGCTAATCCTCCTCTTTTTGCTGAGGAAGACCGGCTCTGAGCTAACATCTATTGCCAATCCTCCTCCTTTTTATTTTCCCCCCAAAGCCCCAGTAGATAGTTGTATGTCATAGCTGCACATCCTTCTAGTTGCTGTATGTGGGTCGCGGCCTCAGCATGGCCGGAGAAGTAGTGCATCGGGGCGCGCCCGGGATCCGAACCCGGGTTGCCAGTAGCGAAGCGCACACGCTCTTAACTGCTAAGCCACGGGGCCGGCCCTCCTCTTTTCTTTGTAAACAATTCATTAGTGAATCCTGTTGGTTCTCTAAATATCTATTCCAAACTAGGGAATTTTGTGTTAAATACCTGTCAAGTTTCAAAAGGTGATTAAATATATTATATAATGAATCTAGGAAATTTAATGTTTTGCTTTAATTAAAAAAAATAACTGTGTTTTTTCTCTATCGTGATGAATACAGTTGGTACACAAGGCAAAACTGGGATTTGGGGCCTAGCATACTGGATCAATTCCATACAAGAGTTTGGATTCCTGAAGTAATACGGAATGTAATTGTAAAACAATTATTACAACTGAAGTATGTTATAACTAAAAAATATCATATTTTATGAATTTATTCTAGTAAAAGTCAAGAATAAAGCCACCCTGGTGTTCTTAACTTAGAATTTTGAATATGCTGGTTCAGGTCTCAAGAGTACAATTTGTTTTAAGGAAATGGTCCCACAGATCATTGTGGGGGTCTGGAGGTTCCTTTTAATGCAGTGGTTTGCAAGCTTCCCCCTGAATTTCAAAACATTTACTAGACGTTATGCTACAGATGAAAGTGCATGGATTGCGAGTAGGACAGATGTGGGTTCTTCAGCCAACTTGCTCTTTGATATAAAGGCCAGTTACTTCACTTCAATTTCTCATCTTTAAAATGCTCTTAGGAATACTTAACTCAAATTCTATTTGTCAGTTATACCTCAATAAAGTTAAAGAAAAAAATTAACTCCAAGGATTGCTTAAAAGTAAGGCTTAAGTGAGATAATGTTGGTGGAGTCCAGCACATTGATGATACATAATAAATGGTTCTTCTCTCCTTGCCCTCTCCAGCAAAAGCTGCAGGTAACATTTACTAACAATAAGGATGGGCAAGATAACCTGAGTATCATAATTTATTTTTAATTGCTATTACATCAGTTCAGTGTGAGATCATTTCTTTCAGACATATTAACCTGCTGATTCAAAGTCCTGTTTTGACAGTATTATATGTCTGTGATCAAAACAAATGAAAAAGTTCTTTTTTTTAATAATTTTATTTATTTTTTTCCCCCAAAGCCCCAGTAGATAGCTGTATGTCATAGTTGCACATCCTTCTAGGTGCTGTATGTGGGACACGGCCTCAGCATGGCCAGAGAAGCAGTGCGTGGGTGCGCGACTGCGATCTGAACCAGGCCGCCAGCGGCGGAGCGCATGCACTTAACCACTAAGCCACGGGGACAGCCCGAAAAACAGTGCTTTTCTTCCATTTTTTTTTTTTGTGAGGAAGATCAGCCCTGAGCTAACATCCATGCCAATCCTCCTCTTTTTGCTGAGGAAGACCAGCCCTGAGCTAACATCTATTGCCAATCCTCCTCCTTTTTTTCCCCCTTTTTCTCCCCAAAGCCCCAGTAGATGTATGTCATAGTTGCACATCCTTCTAGTTGCTTATGTGGGATGCGGCCTCAGCATGGCCGGAGAAGCGGTGAGTTGGTGCGTGCCTGGGATCCGAATGGGGGCCGTCAGTAGCGGAGCATGCGCACTTAACTGCTAAGCCATGGGGCCGGCCCCTAAAAACAGTTCTTTTCTAAAATTGTGTTTCTTTTGGTAACCAAATTGTCTTAAAATCTGGTGCATAACAATAAAACATCACTAAAAGCGTTCGTTGGGATAGAGAACCACAGGATTAGTATGTCAGGACGTATTCTCAGAAATGAACAGTAGATGGCAGCTTTTAGACAGGATTGTCTGGGTCACTGACCATTTTTTTCCTTCTGGACAAATGCCAAGTCTCTTCTGAATGTGGAATCTTTCTTCCCCAAGGGGTCTCACTTCCCCAGGGACCCTCCCACTTGCCTCCATCAGGACAGCAGTTACTGCAGAAAATGAAGCACCTGTAGAGGCTTCTGGGGAGAGAAGATTAAATAAAAAACAGAGAAACAGCAAAAAGCTAACCTGTAAGCCTCTCCCTCCATTATATTTTACTTTTCTTTTAAAAGAGTAAACACAAAGTGATTTCATCTTTATGGTGATGGAAAGGGCAGAGCAGGAGGAAAAGGGAATCTTCCTGAATCAATTCTAAAGACCTCATTATGTTGTTCATTTTAACAGTAAGTTTTTTCAGCTTGTTCTCTTTTTCTTCTTTTTAAAAATCTCTCTACTCTCTGCCTATTTTTCTTTCATTCATGCCTTCAACAAGTATTTATCAAGTATTTAAAGTATACAACTCGATGCGTGTATCAATCTGTTGCTGAGGGTGTGAAATTAGAAAATGTATTTGTATAGGGGCTGGCTCAGTGGTGTAGTGGTTAAGTTTGTGTGTTTTGGTGGCCCAGGGTTCACGGGTTCAGATCCTGGGCATGGACCTATGCACCACTCATCAAGCCATGCTGTGGCAGCATCCCACATACAAAATAGAGGAAGATGGGCACAGATGTTAGCTCAGGTCTAATCTTCCTCAGCAAAAAGAGAGGAAGATTGGCAACAGATGTTAGCTCAGGGCCAATCTTCCACACCAAAAAAAAAAAAAGAAGAAGAAAATTTATTTGTATAAGATCAACCTTCTACCTTTCAGACCACTGCAGTCTCGTAGCGGAAATAAGACAGCGACGTAAATGTCATAGAGTAAGGTACAATTTTTGGCATCCACATTTTTGGTAGCACAGCACAAGTGAAGTCATATTAAGTGGCATTTCATCATCTTATATTGGGGGTAAGCAGGGAAAAGGAGGCAAGCTAATTTATTTGAGTGCTTACTGTGTGACAGGTGGCTGATGGGTGCTTTACAAAGCCTGTCCCATATTAGGTAGTTAATACTTTTTACTCATTTTTGAGATGAGGAGTCTGTATTTTAGGAAGATTAATTAAAGGTGCAAAGTCACACAGATAGAGCATGGCAGAATCAGGAACTCAAAGTAGGTCTAACTGCCTCCTAAAGAAGGCACTGTGAGTGAGATGTTAATGTTGGTAACTTGAATTAATTTCTGCCTTAGGAAGGTGTTTTCCTTCTCTTCAGCAACAGTTCTTTTCAGGATCATAGGCAAGGGTCCAATTATGGTGGACTTTGTGCTGTAGAATGGTAATTTTCTCCTTCTATGACTTCTTCTTGTTTTGTAATTAATTTTCCAATTGTTGAATTCTCTACCTGTACTGTTTCACTTCCTCCTCAACTGATTGTTCCTGGCCTTTCTGAGTCTGCTCCAATTCTCCTACTGGATCTTAGGGTGTATTAGTGTTCTAGGGCTGCTGTAATAAATTACCAAAAACTGGGTGGCTTAAAACAATAGAAGTTTATTCTATCACATTTCGGGAGGCTAGAAGTCCAAAATCAAGGCATCAGCAGGGCCACGCCACTTCTGAAGGCTCTAGGGAAGAATCCTTCCTTGCCTCTTCCAGCTTCTGGTAGCTGCTGGCAATCTTTGGCAGTCCCTGGCATGTGGCAGCATCACTCCAAGACTTTTCAGATTTCTTTACCTTCACTTCTTTCTCAATGTCCATCTTTTTTTTTTTTTGTGAGGAAGATCAGCCCTGAGCTAACATCCATGTCAATCCTCCTCTTTTTGCTGAGGAAGACTCGCCCTGAGCTAACATCTATTGCCAATCCTCCTCCTTTTTA